AAAAGCGCTTGATACGCCCATGAAAAGAGGGCACATTCCTTTATGATTGCTGCAAAATTGACTCTATTTGCCAGTTTTTCCTGATTTTTGACATATTTTTGTGCATTCAGGTGCACTTGCCCTTTTAAACCGCTGAGGACTGGCGGTTGCAAGCAGACTTTTAAAAATGTATTTCTCACAAACCAACCTAGATATAAAAGCGCTTGATACGCCAATGGAAAGAGGAAACATTCCTTTATGATGGCTGCAAAATTTAATCAATTGCCAGGTTTTCCTGATTTTTGACAAACTTTTGTGCATTCAGGTGCACTTGCCCTATCAAACCGCTAAGATCTGTCGTTTGCAAGCAGACTTTTAAAAAATGATTTCTTACAAACTAGCCTAGATACAAAAGCGTTTGATACGCCAATGGAAAGATGGAACATTCCTTTATGATTGCTGCAAAATTGACTCTATTGCCAGTTTTTCCTGATTTTTGACATATTTTTGTGCATTCAGGTGCACTTGCCCTCTCATACCGCTGAGAACTGGCGTTTGCAAGCAGACTTTTAAAAATCTATGTCTCACAAACCAAGCTAAGTAGATACAAAAGCGCCTGATGGAAAAGGAAACTTTCCTTTATTGTCTCCGCAAAATTGACGCTATTGCCGGCATTTCCTGATTGTTGGCAATTCCCGAATTATTGCTTAGTTCATTTAGTTGTCGGAGGCAATAATGGATATAAACAATCATTCTTACCGATTGATCCGATGGCATGTCCATTAGCCGAATGCATGCCACTGTGGGGCCCAGGCGGCCCCCCCGGATGCCCATGGTAGCTGTTGTTGCCTGGAGATGGGGGGTGTGGCGACGTGAGTTCTCCAGGTCCCCCATACGGATGATAGTGTGGATTCATTGAGGCAAGAGCGCTGGCTGCCAGTTTGGTGAGACGGAGCGCTGCCAGGAGCGCTGACTTGGCTACGGAGAAAGGGGCGCAACTAGCTTTCAAACTAGCGGGGCTGGATTAGTCACTAACTCACGCTTAGATCCTGCAAACAAGAGAAGGCGACTTACATTGCAGTTCCGATATCTTCGATTAGGGCATCAATAGTTAAACCACTACTAGAGGGGATCAATCATTAAAGGCAATTTCGAGAAAAGTCCATTATGTGCAATTAGAGAGACGGAGGTCTGCGTTTGCGGTGTGCCCGTCCGACAGTGTCGTAACGACGATTTATTTGTGTTTTGTGCGAAAATTTTCACCTATTTAAAAAGTTTAATAACTAAAAAAAGCGCTTTTTCGTAAGTTTGAGAGCAACTTTCAAAGCTAGTGAAAGTTATTTGCGCAATTATCAACATTCATCAGACAATTCGAAAGAAAACCGGCAATTCAAAATTGAGATCCAATCATTTTCATGCGATCAAAACGAGTTCTAATTCGGTTTTCCTCTCTTAATCCGATTGACAGCCTCTTTCCACTCGGCTAATCAAACGAAGGAGCGCGCCTTACTCAACTTGTTATGAGGTCGATTCAGTTATTAAAATTATAAATCTTATTTCACGTTTAAAATTTCCCGGCGCCCACCTAAAGACCGGGGAAAACTGATTAATGTTTTCTCTAGGGCACGTTGTTGCAACCCTGTCTATCAAAAATATTAACGTTTTAATAGGTTTGGTTACTAATTAAGTTTGACGTTTTTGTTCAGGATTGGTACGACACTGTTGCCACCACATGGAGTATTTCAGATTATTTGCCTCTTTTGTATTTGTTGAACAAAAATCCAACTTCACATCGCTAAAACGATCTTGTTGAGTTCTCAAGATGGTCACCCCTTCGGTCAATGAAACGCGGATTCTTCTTGACTGTTATGGCGTTCTTGTTAGAGGTATAAAGATTTCATTCATTGCATAAAATGCTTCATTATCCCCGAAGAAGTGAGAATAGTAGCAAACGCCTGTTGAAGTCACTAACCCACGTGTAGTTTATGCAAGATGAAACGGATCAAATCAATTATAACCGCCAGAAGTAACTGGAAATGAGTGAAACGACACTAGAAATAATCTATAGGTTTGTACCTACTTACTTCTTTAAAATATAAACAGGTGCAAACAAGTTTATCAGATGAACCAAATATGTGGACGCTTTACTAGCAAACAGGAACACACTACTAACGCTATTCGACTGAACTGTTTAGAACCTTTGAAACGAACAGGTATAATTTTAAGAAACCAGGGCACTTCTGGTCAGTCGATATTGAATGAACATCTGAGAGCTTTGTCGATTCTATAAAGGGGCGGACAAAGTGTCCGAAAGCTAGACCGACAAGCGTAGTTCCATTTTCAAATGGCTCCACCGCTCAGGAAGCATTTTTGCCTGAGACGATTTACAGAAAATCACTTAAGTTTTAGGACACCCTGTAGTTTTCATTCATGATGTGGGTTTGAACAATTATTGAAACTTCAGCATCAATTAAAATGGCACATTTTTTTAATTACTGGATGGTGAAAAGTGGGGGCCTTTTAATTGAAGCTGCACTGACTGGATATACATCACGATTATTGAATTCAAAAAATCCTCCTTGACTCGCGTGAATAAAATTCCAGGTAGCCCTCGCCCTCTAATCGGATAAAACCGTCATCCGGGCGATAATTGCCCGGAATTTCACAGTTCATGTCTTAGTTTTCCTTATGATTTACATCTCACTGGCTAAATGTGCAGCACGAAACGGTAACCAGATTAGCCGGGAGTTTCGATAAGTCCTTTTTTCATGGAAGAATCATCCAGCAAAACAGTGAAAGGGGAGTCACCAAGGACGGTCTGTGTAAAGAAGACGAAACAAGCAATTTTTGGGCCAAAGTTTCGAAAAATCGGTTGGTTGGTTGGCAGTTAATTTCAGGTGTAAAACAATTAAGTATCCAATTTGCGCTCTCCTTTTTCGTATCGACCGGGGCAATTTTAAAAACTAATTATCCTCTCCCTTCGTGAAATATAATTACCGGGCCGTCCCTCTTACTCGCCCGGAAAAAAAATAATATAATAATACGTGTGTGTGTGCGTGTCTCCCTCTTTGCCCTTTTTCGAATGGTTTCCCCTGGCGGACAGGGACGGATTTACCATTATGAATTTTGCCCTTGCCCTTCGACGTATATACAGGGTGTAAGGAAATTTTTAAGGGTGATTCTACATGCGAAAATAATGGTAGAAAGTCATGAGACAAAAATTCGAATTGTGAATCACACGACTCGAAAAAGCGCTTCGTTTGGGAGCAAATCGACATCAAACTCTTTGTAACTCTCAACACAGTGTCGTTCAGGGGCTGCTCACTGACGGAGTTAGGTGTTACGCCTGCCCGCGCCACCAGGAGCGCTGGCGACAATTTTGGAGATTTGGCGACAGCGCGTGTCCACGACAAGTGATGCTCACTGTCAGTCAGCTATGTCAATATTGCCTGTCAGTTCATAGATAATATAAACAAAACAAAGTTGTTTTGATGCACGTGTTTCATTCTGACCTATTTCTTACATTACTTTGTTGCAAAATGCCGTTTTAATGTTCCGTTGGCGATGCCCTTGTCTGCATCTATGGCCGGTTGTGAGAAATCTTCTAAAGAAATGAAACGCATTGTTTGTCTGGATTCTAAGGTGACCTGTGCCTACATATTAATTGTAACATGCTATATTTAGGCAACCAACATAGGTTGGAATAGTACGAGAAGTTGCATATAGTTTAGACGAATAATAGAATATGACACTAGGAAGGGTGTGGCATGGCGTCTCTCGTAAGGTTGTAGCAGCGTTTGAGTGTATCTATGTTTTCCATTACAGTTAACAATAATACGCTGCATTAATAAAGATTTAATTAATTTTTTTAAAGACAAAAATTTTTGAGGCGAAATACCCTACAAGAAGTTTGTAAAAAAAAATGCATTAATAAGTTGTACAAACGTATAACTGATTATTTTTGCTTGAATATTAACGCATGTGGGTAGTGTTGACTATTTGTTTGAAACATGCACCTTTTGCTATCAAACTTTTGTTTTGCAGATAAGACAAAAGGGGTGCCAGATACGCACAAATACGAAATGTATTGCTGTACCATCTGAGTTTGTCATAAAATTATTTTGAGAATAGTAGTCATATTTTTATCAGCGTTGTAGGCTTTTACAAAGCTGTTATCCCCAAATTTGGTAGGTAGTTAGCTGAAAGCCCAAGCTAACGCCCCGGATGGCATAAATGTATCGATTTTGTAACATTTTGGTACATGCAGCATACAAACATTGATATAAAAAGTCAAAAAATCAGTTTGTTTAAATGGCACATACCAACTTTTTTGGTTCTGTTTGAAAAACTCACAGGACCAACAAAAATAGTAGGTGCCATTTAAAAAAAAACGATTTTTTGGCATTTTTAATGACAAATTAACTTGAGTAACATTTGAATTTGGCGGTTTAATCACCAGCCCGCGTCGCTGGCGGCGCCACTGAATGCGGTTTGCCAAAATCGCGAGAGTTGCCAATCTAAATAGTTTGATAATCTGTGGTGTCGTTGGATTGAAGTGCAATCGCAACAAATCAAGCCGTTTGGTCTTAAAATGTGGGAAATTTTACCATTTATTTATATTAATCATTTGGACTAAATTTGAAACAACAGTGTGCGATGATAAACAAAAGTTTACAAAAAATCCAATTCAGTTCGATCGCTGTATAAGCAAACTCGTCAATACAAAGCAGAGCCCAGGAATCAATTGAAAGTAGAAACTATCCATATTTTTTCTTCGTCGCACTCAGCCGACCATGGCAAGGTCGGAAAAATTCAATAAACCAAGCGCATAACTCATCCCTAAATAGTTTAAAACTCGTATGCCGGCATCCCTAATAAAAGTTCCCATTGTGCCATTCAAGTAAATTGATAAATTTTGCATATTAAAGGCGATAAATTATCATGCATTACTCTCTAAGCTCTATATAAGCAATATTGCATTACAATCAGTGTTGCAGTAAGGGCCCTCGCGATTTATTCGGGTCGGGCGAAGGGTCCTAACGGCTAGACAGGACCGTAACAAACGATGATTCTACCCAATAGAAGGGACAATTCGAAACTGACTTCGGGACCCGCTCACTTCATGTCTCAAAGATTACAAGAAAAAGATCGGAAAGTATTCCTGTCTGTACACGACACCGAGGCCATTGAAAATGCGGCTGATAAGAACATTATCAGTATACATGTAGATGTTTTATAGCACATTTGGAATTGATAAAGACGCAGCCAAAGTCGTAAGTCAACATGTACGTAATCTGTTAAAGTCGAAACTTAACAACGAATTGAAACTTCCCCCTGCGACAATCTACGTTGTTGCATGGCATGAATCATAAGAATAAAGCCTGTGTCCCATGCATTCGTTTATACGATGGTACGATGATACGAAAGTGTTTCTATTGGTTGGAGATCTGTCAGTTCGTACTACAACGGACGAATTGACAGATCTCCAACCAATAGAAACACTTTCGTATCATCGTACCATCGTATCAACGGATGTATGGCTTTAACCAAAGAAGATGCAACAAAGCCTATGAATGTGTTATGATGTATGTGTGTGTGGTCCTTCGGTTGACATGCTCCCGAACAATTAGAACGGGAGCATTTCTAATTAATAAAAGCTAGGAGCGCCCGTAAAACCTAATAAAATTACCGGCAGCGCTGGATGGAAATTGGGAAGAAATGTTCTGTTTTTATACCATTTGCATGTTTCCACCACTCTCCTGCACGTATTTATGCATAACGAAACCGAGCAGAATAGCTGCGTTTAGACCCTTATTTAAATGAACATCATCGTTGCTTAACGCATTTTCGTTCCTTTTTTTAATTAAAAGCGGTTGTCTTCCATTTATATAACCGGAGTGGTCTAACCGGTTGCAGGCCGAAGCCTTTCGAGAGGAGCAGACGCTTCAGACTTGGAAGGTATATTATTTAGACAGGAAGTACTGAATACCATTGAAATTTTTCAGCTGGTAAAATCACATGGAAAATCTTGTCTTGTGTGTTGCGCTGCTTCTCTTAATACAAATCCCATAATTGCTAAGTACTGGATCCATTATCATAGGTGTTCATTAATTCTAGTGAAAGAACCCCCTCTGGGTGTCGGCGTTTTCCACCCGATAAACGTTTCGCAGTAAACAAGACTTTTCGCAATAAAATAACAACTGGCAATTAATGGCTTATTGTTAATTCGCGGCTCCAAAAAGCCGCGCTCCTACTTTTCCAAACAAAAGGCGTAACACTCTATTGAATACTATAATTAACTCCTTCGGCTATAAATATTTCGGCCGCAGACGCAGTAAAATACGGAATTATTGTATAATAAATTTTACTTGCAGGAATTTAAAAATAGAAAGTATTAATAACCTACTTCCACAAAAATACGCGGATATTGTATTATTATTTCGGATGGCGAACAAGCTGATGTAGATGTATTATCGAAGACCCACATCTTCCTAGCATAGGTATCTTTGATACTGCCAATAATTTTATTACCCAGTAATTTGGTTAACTAAACATAAACCAATTGCGTATTAGTTGCAACAAACCATAGTAAAATAACGACCGTGTGCAGTTCTTTCGGTTGGAGAGGTGCACGAAAAGGGTCCGATTTGCACGTTGCCTCCACTGAGAACACCATATATTTCATAGAATGAGTACCAGTTAAAAGGCAAAAAGCAGCTGCGCTTTTTCATACAGTAGCGTATCCAATTTTTTTCAATTCACATTAGGAAGAGTTTTTCGCATGTAGGTAGATTCATTCTGATCGCTGATAGCAAAGCATTTGCTTAAAAATGTGAAAAGTATGCATTAAAGTCAGTCGATATCCGATTTGCATCAGACAAGACCTGTTAAGTGTTTTCACTTCTTTTTAAATGTTGATATATAGAAAGCAGTTATGGCAAACATTACACTGATATAATGATTTTTGCAAAAAAGTATCCATAATAATTTTAAAGCGCATTTAAATTCCAAACAGATATTTTCCCCCAAAAACGCCGAATCCGTATCGTCGGTTGCCTATCCCGATTGTGACGTAGCAGGTCATATCAATAAAGTGTCTCGTGTTTATTTTGTTGTTTTCGCAGCTTTGTTTTATTATTTAAGTTATTGTGATTATCATTATTTTTTTTTGCATAACGGAAAATAGTGACATGTATGGATCACCAAATAAGCGGTGTTTTGTGCCAGGATGCAAGAATACCTCAATAAGTGCTCCAAACAAACTCTTTTCAACCGTTCCCCATGATTATGCAAGTAAAGTTTTATGGTTCAAAGCAGCTAGACGTGATGTTCCTAATCAAAAATCAATGTTTTTTTGATGCGACGATAATTTTAATGAAAGTACGAACGAAAAGCTAATGATGAGGCAGACAGAATATGGCTTTGATCGTACTCTGTGTTCTGGGCAAATTCTTCCTTGTACAGTCCACAAAGAACCCTCGCGTTTCAATTCCACATATCCGATATCACCATATTGTTCTAGTGATGCCCAAAATACAAACTTAAGAGTTCATTTTACTTTTAAAGCAGCCATGTGTATAGGTTAGGTTAAGTTGAATAAGTGAAATTCTATATATTATTTGCCTAATTTAAACCAATACAGACAGATTACTATATTAAGGGGACGGGTAACTAATAATGAATTTACGGATTGTTACTTACGCTGCTGCTTTGACACCCTTAAATTCGGCTGAATTAAAGCGTTCGTCGTTTTTTAAATTCGGTAACCATACAAATATGTATACTTGGTAAATGGTTTGTTGACGCTTTAAGGAATCCTTCTGAAACCATTTTTTAGTTTAACACAAACATAAATTAGTTAAATCCACAAAATAATTAATGAAGCACAACCACACAACTAAACACTATGGACAGAACGTAAACAATCCGCCATTTATATGACCAGAGACGTCACAAGCAATAGGATTGCGTTTTAGAGATTCATGAATAATTTGAATTTTAGCTGAATTTGTTTATTAAATATTTAACAAAATAGCAATAGATTGATAGTTTAAACTTATTTACTCTTTCAATCAGCCGTTGGTAGTGTTCACGGCCTCTGGGGGTTTTCAAATACAGTTCCAAGAATTAGCTTGCAAAATTTTCGAACGCATACGCAAAAGTAGGTATAAAATACGACACAAATTTGTCGTTTGGATCTGTATCCTTGATGGTATCTCGGCCCGTGTCTGAGATTGTTCGTTATCTATATTTGACGAATGCGGATTATCCACAAAACAAAATTAGACGATAATATTAGCTGAATCAAGCCAGGGACTTCATGCAGCTATGCACTGATCGTTGCGCCTTCGCTCACCCACCACATGCTCCTAAGACCCACTAAAACAGATGGTTTTTGTAAGAATTCCAATTCCTGAAAGAAACGCGATCCTACTGTTAGGGCCGATGGGTGTTCGAGAAAGTGTAGGGAGTTTGTCCGCTAATTATAGCCAGGGTGGATCACTACTAAAAATAGTTAGTTTAGATGGCATAGATGACTAGTAACATTGATCCATCTGATCCATCCATCCCTGTTCTGATCTAGCACGGGAAAGGCTGCCAACCCACAGTAGGTCATGGGGGATGATCTGTTGCTTTTCTTAATAAAATCTCTTGTCAACATCTCGCAATCTGGCACGTTTATTTTTTATTTAAGCGTGTTTTTGCCGCTGTTCCTCATTGGATCTGGCCCTGTACTGGGTGTTCCAGTCCTAAAGCCTTCTTTCGTTGTTTCTTTGTTATAGGCGCATCGGCAGAAGGCACACTAGTAAATTTTTTCAAAGAATTTGATTGTAACAGTGTCACTGCATTTCTTGGACGTTTTCCGAAAGATTTTCGAATCTCCAAGGATGATGCTCCAATGAAATATCCTATCTATTCGGCACTCGCAATAGAATTAGCAAGAATTTAAAAATAAAAATGTTGCGTTTTGAAATTGGATGGAGCAGTTTGAGCGCGTCCCTGTTTTGTCTGCAATCAAGCAAATTGCGGAGTTGAACGCGGCACTAAATTGCTTAAAAAGTGTTCGTTCGATACAAGCAGTGAACACTGAGTTATAGCAGACTAGGCAGGCCAACTTACAGAACGAGAC